AATCAATCAATTATAAACAATTTATTGCTATTGTGTGAATAATAGGTAATCATGTATTCAATAAAAAAGTAACTGTAGTCTGATTACGAGTATTTTAAAACGCAATTACAAGTATTTCATTTTTGGAATCTGATTATGTAATCAGTTGCCCAGCTGTGGTTCTGCCTCTGCTCTGGAGGAGGCGTGGCTCTTTATTCTCCTAAAGCGAGTTCTCGGGACTGCCAGAGGGGGCGCATGCGAGCACAGTGGCGGGTGTCAGAAAAGAGGAGGTGCGTGGCGTGATACGCAATTACGCATCTCTCGTTTGAGTGTGCGTGTGTTGTATGTGTGGAGGGGAAGCGCAACACGCGTTGTGATAGTCGCACTTCTAAACTGAGCTAGAACCAACTTTATTTCCCCCTACTTTCGCTTTCCTCGAACGGAGGAGGACGTTCCTGAGTTTTTGTTTTAGGAGTAAGAAGGCAAATCCTCGGCTGTGGAGGAATAATGTCGGCGTCGGCGGCGAAAGTGAGCCGAAAGGAGCAGAACTCGAATCACGACGGAGCGGACGAGACCTCGGGTAAAGTAATGGCGGTCTCCTGCGCACCGCCATTTTCAGTAACTTCCATTTCTTGCGTTTAAAGCACGAATATCAATTCTAACTAGCCGCTTGGTGTTTATTTTAACCTTTAAACGAAGCCCGAGTTAATCCAGCAGAAGTCTTTTTCGCGGTGTAATTTCAGCAAAGGGATGTTGCGCGCGCCGGAGGCCATGTTTCCTCGCGCGGAGGCTTTATTGTGCCACGCGCGACGAATATTGCGCTCGCGCGCCATTTAATTTATAAAAACAGCACAGTTCCAGGTTGTTTCCACTTATTTGTGCTCAACTGTGTCTTTCAAGCTCAATGTGGCTTGAGTGTTATTTGTGCGCTGTATTGCGCTCATGTTGTGTGCTAATAGGCTAACGTTAACTGGTTATTGTGTCTGCCCCGCCATCACGAGCCATTCCCGCATGTGTCATTGAACCACGCTGCATCACAAACCACTGTAAAGGTGTTTGATGACGCTCAATTAGGTCGAAATGACTTTCTAATCCGATCTAACTGTTAATGCACGGCAGTAATGTGTAATTCATTGGGAGGAAGGTAAATCTGGCCCAGCGCGTGGCCTCCTCCTCCGTTTAAACCTCGCGGCCTTGCGCAGCTGCTGCTGAAACGGCACCGGATTGAGCTGGTCGTTCGGCGTGAACACCCCGGTTTCACTTTTAACTTGTCTTTGTGTTTTTGAATCGGATGAGGCTGGCATTAGATAATGGTGCTTTTTGTTCATTTGATTTACGAAATAGATCGTGTTTACATTGTACGAATGCATTGTTTGGTGTATAGTTGCATGTGTAATTTGTGAAGTCATGCTTTTATGTTAGTCCGTATATACGGATTGCTTGCAGGTGCAATTTTTCTCCTACTTTTTGCAGGATATTAATGGTATAGCGAATTAGCCTTTTTGTTAATGTTACCGTTTATTGCATTTTCAGAAAAAGAGCAACAGGAGGCAATTGAACACATTGATGAAGTACAGAATGAAATCGACAGGTAAGTTTGCCATCGCCGCTCAAGTATCATTTGTAATGTCACATTTAATGCAGTTTTTATTAATGCTTTTGTATTTTTCCACTTCTGTTGCTTTCCTCAGATTGAATGAGCAGGCGAGTGAGGAGATTTTAAAAGTAGAGCAGAAGTACAACAAGCTACGTCAGCCATTCTTCCAGAAGAGATCAGAACTCATAGCCAAAATTCCAAACTTCTGGGTCACAACATTCGTCAACCATCCACAAGGTGAGAAGATGCATATAATACTGGGACCATTTGATGGTGATGTTAAATATGGTTGATTTCTGATATGGGTTTATATATTCTATTCTAATGTATTGTTTTTGATTAATAGTCTCAGCCTTGCTCGGTGAGGAGGATGAAGAATCACTTCATTACCTGACCAGAGTGGAGGTCACAGAGTTTGAGGACATCAAGTCAGGCTACAGAATAGATTTTGTAAGTACCCTTTTTCATCTGGTCGAGTCTGAAAGTAATGCACAGCTGTGACAAACCAATTGTCTGACCTGAAACTTTACCTTCTCTGCAGTACTTTGATGAAAATCCATACTTTGAAAACAAAGTCCTCTCAAAAGAATTCCACTTGAACGAGAGTGGTGACCCATCTTCAAAATCCACTGAAATCAAATGGAAGGCTGGAAAGGTGGGTTAACAATTCTCTTTTTTTGGACCGTTTTGGCCTAATGCTGTTCCTTTTTGGGTGTACGTTAACTTTATGGTTGATGCAGGACCTGACGAAGCGTACTGGACAGACACCGAACAAGGCAGGGAAGAAAAGGCAACATGAAGAGCCAGAGAGCTTCTTCACCTGGTTCACCGATCACTCCGATGCAGGGGCTGATGAACTCGGAGAGGTCATTAAAGATGACATCTGGCCCAACCCTCTGCAGTACTACCTGGTATGAAGTATTATTATTGCATTACTGCAGGTGTATATTAGCCATAGCAAGTCAGAACTTGTATTTATCTTTCTTTCTCTCTCTCTCTCTCAGGTTCCTGATATGGATGAAGAAGAGGGTGAAGGCGAGGAGGATGATGATGATGAGGAGGAGGAGGGTTTGGAGGACATTGATGAAGAAGGGGATGAGGAAGAGGGAGAGGAAGACGAAGAGGAGGATGATGGAGAAGATGGTGAGGTGAGAATTATTCAAAGCTTTGGCTTTAATTTGAGGGCAAATTACAATTATTTTTAATGCATGGCAGTTTTTGTGGTTTATTAGTGGACATTAATTTAAAATGTATTTAGAAAGTGCATCATTCATTATTTGTAAAAACTTCAGAAACTGGCACAGTTCGACCCTAAATATTTTCCCCTTCTTTTTCAGGATGATGGGGAGGATGACTAAAGGCTGATAAGGACATATTCCAACACTTGTACCTGTTCTTTCCTTTTTGAAGTCATCCTCCAACCATGGGAGCAAAAAGCTTTGTTTTTATTTCTTTATTTTTATAAAAAAAAAAAAAATTGTGCTCCATCTTCTGTTCAACTGAATCCTCTCCTGTCCTGTCCATGTCTAAACCCTGTTAATTCCCTGGACATACAGTTCCTGTATTGGAAAACTAGTGGCATCTCGTTGCTGAAGCCTCTTGCGTCATCTTTAATTACAACCATCTCCAAAGACAAATACAAAATATTAACAATCTGCACGTCATCCTCTCTGTAGACTAAACTTAAGTAAATAGCAGTTTATATATTAAGTATATGAAATGATTTTTTTTTTCTGTGAATGGTTGTGAGTTGAAGTAATAAGCCATGGTGCAGTGATCTAATCATAGCGTACATACCTAGCCACTTTTTTCTTTGTCTTTTGTATATTTTCTTTAATGCAGAGGTGGGCCCCAAAGAGTTGACACTGTTTTTCCTCTGTGATGTTTTGGACAAAAGGAAAGCACCAGCTAGCTCCGGTCAACTCTTGTAAATGTTTTGGGGTCAATATCAGGGTATGGCAGTTAATATTGACAGTTCAATGGGGTCGGGTGGGGCAAGTGGGCATTTGACACATCAACATTTGGGTTTATGTTGATTGAATTTTCATTGTAATGTTTTACAGACACCCATGAGGTTTGAAACATTTTTAATAAAAACAAAACAAAAAAACTTCTTGTAATTTTGAGCTTGGCTAATTAAATGATTATTTAAATGAGATAATAAAGCCTGTAGAATCTTAAAGAACTCTACAACTGGTCTTTTCTCCACCTGCTTTCTTTTATTGGAGATGTACTAATGAACAAGGTTAAGAGTACAGAGGTTTTTATACACTTTTGTTTTAAATGGTACACCTTTAAAACTTTTTATTTTTTTTAATTCAATTTTATAATTTAGGTTGAATTGTATCTCATCAAAGAGTCTTAACAGTAGTGCTCCGTGTTGGAACAATCACTTTTTAAGGTATTGCAGACAGCTGGGTCATTACTACAATTTAGTCCCTTTTAACTCCATGCAAGTTATGACTTTTATAAGGTTAGATCTGAACTGCTTTGAGCTCTAAAGAGTTTGGTTAAAAGGAGACTTTTTTTTAAATTACATTACACACTGCTTTGGGCCTAAAAATCAATCATTTAAGTCGTTTTGATTTATTGACTGGTTGTCTTCCCAGAGCAGTATATTAAATGTCTTCTAAAAAAAATATCCACTACATTTTGACTGAATGGTATGGGAAAAAATATTTTATTATTTATAGTGATATATATATATGTGTGTGTTTGTGTTGGGTTATTGTGTTTTCTGATTGAGATGTTAATCATTTATGGTGAAGACTATCATGTACACCACATTACAGGAAACCCAAGGGAAACATATTTTATCACTTCAAATTATTAATGATGATATATTTCTTAAAGTATAATTATAATGGCTTTCTTTTTTTAATATAAAGAAAAATGGGTGTTGTCAATTAATTAATGTAGTTCTACTAGTTGCACATTTATCTTAAATCGCATAATATAATATCAAATATGAACATTGATTAATAAAAAAAAAGTTTATATTAGAAGCGTGAGGCTATTATGTGTTCGTTCGTGACAACTTTCAAAGCCCAAATGGCACCGAATTGTACGAATGACCCAATATAAAACTGAAACGGCTCTGAGTAGGTTGACCAATCAGAAGCTAACACCAGTGACGTAAGAAGGACAGCCAATCATTGATTGGCTCACGGTATCCATGGCAGAGCAGTCACGGATGTCACATCCAGGATAACAATGGAGGAACGAACAGCGCTGTGCAGTGGCCAAATACAATAAAATATCGTTCAAAATTAGCAACAATAAGTGTTTTCCCTATTACAGAAGCAGATTTTGATTCGTCGACCATAAAACCGTTTTAAATATAACGAATAACCAACAAACCGTGCTTTATGAAAGATAATCGCTAGCTCCCAGCTAACGGTAACGTCTTATTGAGACTTTAGCATTTTGTAGAGATATGAACATATATATATATATATTATTTTTTTTTGTCTGAGATAAAGATTAAATAGTTTATTCTCGCTAGCTGACAAAGTTGAAACATGTTCACGGATGAAACTCTTGACTTAATTGGTGTCGAATCGACATGGAGAAAGTCGCATCAGCAAACACAAGAATCAGTAAGTGAAAAACCTTCTTACCTTCTCTAACCAGAATATTCATGCTCTTGTAAATATCAGTCCTCTTGTGTGATGATATATCGTGTCTTTTATTCCCGCACAGAGAAGCTGTCAAACTCTTCCAGTTCACACAGCAGAGGCTGAAACACAAGCTAAAGAAGTGTTAGACGACAGCACCCAGACACAAGAGCAGATCAGTCACACACTCTCCCTAGATCGAGACATAGCTGACTTTCCTGGTTTGCTGGACTTCTTGCATAAAGTTGAAGACATAGTTATCAAAGAACTGGTGAAAAACTCCAAGAGTCATGCTTTTGATGGGTTTCAAGTGAACTGGGAGGATCAGAATGAGTCGGTGAGAGCCTTGAATGCAACAATATATTAATCATTGCTTTCATATTTTTTCAAATGATCTTAGAACTGGGGATTTTTTTTGCACAGGTGTCCTGCATGTACCGTCTTCAGCATGTTGATGCCCAGGAAAGGGGTCTGCAAGTCACCAGCGTGTCCTGGAACTGCACCGGCTCGGTCATAGGCTGTGGATTCGGCCGGTAATAGCCATTTCCCCGTACAGGCACATAAAACCACCTGCTGTCGTGATCAAAGCAGTTTAATGTTGTATTTTTGGGGTTAGTGTGGATGATGGTGATTGGAGCAATGAGAAGGCGTATGTGTGCACGTGGAACCTGGACCGGCAGAACCTGAACCCAAAGCGGCCGGATGTGATCATAGACGTGGCCAGTCCAGTCATGTGTCTGTGCTTCCATCCTGTGAGACCGTCTGTGCTTGCTGGTATGGACATACATTTACAAAATCAAATGCTTTGACATTTTTTAAAGAATGACTCACACACTCAGCTAGGTTCATATTTCACCTCAAAATGGAGAGAGAGAAAAACGAACATAAAATGTGAAATATTTGCATAAAGAAACTGAAGCTTAAAATGTTGCATAAAAATAATAATTTTGTGCAATTATTCATCATGTTGTGTTAGTTAAATAGTACAGAAATCCTGTTTGGATGCAATGTTTTTACTTTTTAAATGAGCAATATTAGAGGTAGTAAAACTATAGATTGATTTCTTTTCTGACAGAAATGAATTAATTACTTTTATTTAGCAATTATGCATTAAATTGGTCAAAAGTGACAGTGAATTCATTTATAATGTTACAAAAGACTTCTATTTCAAATTAATGCAGTTCATTTAAACTTTTGAATTGGGCATAAGGCACTTCTTTAAAATTTTTTATATATATATATATATATATATATATATA